TCAGGGGCCTTTCAGAGTGACTCTGGAGTTAAATTGTACAATAGATCTGTGTCCCTGCATGGGGGTAGCAGCTCCAGGCAAAGCTGGATGGGCAGAGGGATCCCTGACCCTGCCTGGGCACCTCCTGGGGTGCTCTGGGTCCTGAAGCAGGGCTGGCAATTTGGTGGGTACTGCCCACAAAGTCCTCCAGTTTCCAGCTTCAAACACCCTTTTCAGAAAGGTTTTTAAGACGATTTTCTGTTTGCAGGGCAAGGGAAGCAGATGGGCTCTCCCCACCCAGGATGGAAAAGGGAGCAGGAGTGGCTGCTCCTCTGCTGGCCGACTGGAGAAGTCACCAAAGGGCAAGAGACAGAAGTTTCTACCTCTCAGGTAAAGGAGAAATAAATCTGGGAGCCATCAGACCCAAAAGATCAGGATGGGGCTCTGCAAGAGCTGCACGGAGCAGAGTCAGAGCCCAGTGGGGAGCAGGGGCAGAGTTCAGATCCCAAACTGGGGCTGTGGGGCACAGACTGGTCCTGCTGCTCCCCAGGGCTGCTGTGCTGATGATCCCACAGCATTCCTGGGACAGCATTCCTGGGACAGCCTGTCCAACAGCAGCAGAACACACGTGTGCTGCCAGAGCCCCAGAACCTCCCCACCAGGAACCCACACACCTGCAGAACAGCAGAGCCAACTCCTGGGAGTACTTACCACTTTAATTTAAATAAATAGGTGCTTTAAACTTAGGGAAACTTGGCTCTGCAACTCTTGCAAAGCCTAAACCCAAGTGATAGGCAGAGCTCGGGCACGAGCCGTAATAAAATGCTAATTGCGATTCATAAATTACGTCGGGATGCCTGGGAATGTTGAAGCTCCTGGATGAAGTGTAGCATTCAATTTATCCTGTGCCTGCTCTCGACAGTGCTGCCAGCCTCCTCCTTGTCCCCCTGTGTTGTTTTGTCATCTCTGTACTATCACCAATTCATCACAAAGGCAACTGAACTCGCCGGTGTCCACCCACCGGGTGACTTTGTCTTCGCTACTCTATGACTTCTAAATTAAATTGTCAAAACACATTACTGAGAAAAATATCGTGAAGGGGAAGTTCTTTACCCTTTTCTCCTGGCTGAAGAGAGAGCAGCTTTGATTTGGAGCAAACATGTCTGCTTCATTATCCCACCCGTTATCATATTTCTTCCCTCGGCGGCAGCGGGAGAGGAGTCGATACTCAAGTCTTGGATGACATGATGGAGCATCCCACAGGAGTTGTCTCCATAAATTCTGAGATTGCCCAGGAAAAGCTGGGGATGGGGGGGAAGGTGTGTAATTTTCACTCTCTTTTATTCCTCCCACTCTCAGACAATTTAGAAGAGATTACGGGGTGTGCTGGCGTGGATTCCCCCAGGCTGGATGTTCCCAGCACTGCCTGCCTTGGAATCGGCTCTTGGAGTCCTTGCAGGAGAAGAAACCAGCCCAGCAATGGGACTGGGGAGGGCACAGGTCCTGCTCCCACACCTCTGCTCCTTGGGTAGGGAGGGGCCTTAAAGCTGCTCCCATCCCACCCCTGCCATGGCAGGGACACCTCCCACAGTCCCAGGGAGCTCCAAACCCCATCCAGCCTGGCCTTGGGCACTGCCAGGGATTGCCAGGGCCTGCCCACCCTCACAGACGAGGATTCCCTCCTCAGATCCCGCCTAACCCTGCTCTCTGTCAGTCTGAATTCATTCCCCCTTGTCCTGGCATCCACCCCTGTGAAAAGTCTCTTTTTGTGCTCCTTGTCAGCTCCCTGGTGTTTTGTTTCCTGCAGGAATCAACACTGATCTTGAGCTGCTCCCTCACTCTTTCCCTGCACTACAGGGGGTGTCTGAGGGCTGTGGGCTCTGTCCCCTCTCCCCTGGCTCTGCTGTCCCCCCAAAACTGGAGGAGAGTCAGGCCAAGGTTGGATCCTGCTGCTGGATGCAACCACAGAAAATAATTCCCCTGGGGAAGGGAAACAAGAGGAGCCTTTCCTCCAAGGGAAAGAGCTGTTGATTCCCCCTTTCCTCATTCCCACGTTGGTCTCTGGGCATAATGGATCAGCCATAAAAAGCAAGTAGCACAGTGTGCACTCATTCTTTGGCTTTGGACAATGCCAAGGTAATAGACACATATTGTTTATTTATTCTGCTGTAGAGCAAGGCAAGGAGGCAGTGCCCAGTGTTTAGATGGGGTATTTTTAAATGCTCCCATTCCCTGGGCCCTTGTGATGCATTAGCCATCAGTAGTCAAATTGCCTCATATTTGCAATTTTATGGGTTCATTTTATCAAGCACACTAGAGCTGCATTCAAAGCACAGAAATAAAGTATTCCACTTCTGTTAGGCAAGAGCTGCTTCAATGCAAGAGATGGCCAGAGAGCAGAAATCTCTTTTATTTTCCCCTGCCTCTGCTCCAGATTCATCTCCAGATATTGCTTCTCCTCTGCAGCAGCAGCTGCTGAGCCCCTGCAAGGCTGTGGAAGGTCCTGGGCACACCAAGAGCTCCAGACCTCTGGAATTCTCCTGCTGGGACATCCCTCCCTGCTCCCTGGCTGCTTTAAAACCACTCCCAGCAAAGCTTTACCCTGCTTGTCCCCAACTCCAGGGCTCTGAGTGGCACCTCCCGAGCCAGCCCCAGACTTCAGCTCCCTGCATGGGGCAGGGAAAGGTTGGAAGCAGCAAAACCACTGGGAATCAGCAGGAAAGAGAAGTTTCCAGGGTGGGTTTGGTGTCATGCTCAGCCCATCACAAGGACTTGGGGTCACCCAGGAGCTCCAGGGCTGTGGTTTTAGGGAAATTCATGGGATTATTCTCAGCGGGAGCTGCTGCTGGAGGAGTTTGCAGAGCAGGAATTTGCTCCCTCTCGTGGGCTCTGGGGCTGGGCACAGCAGAAAGGGCTGGGATTCCTTGGCAGGCTGGAAAACAGGATGGGAAATGTCCCCTTGGAGCTCTGGGAGCTTCTGCTCCAGCACAGAACAAGGACAAACACCAGGGACAGGCAGCCCTGGGCTGGGCTCCCTGTAACAGCTTTTGGCGGCCCCAAATTAACCCTGCTCCTTCATGGGCTCCAGTTCTGGCTCTCCAGAGCTCTCAGCTCCTCCTTGCACAACACTTTATTGCCTTTATTGTCTCTGGGCCTGATTCCAGCAGGATTTATCTCTGTTCCAGCTGTTTAACCAACTCCACACATGGACAGTGCAGGGCTCGCTCTCAGGGATGAATAAACCACAGATTCCTTTTATTTTCAAACAAGAACAGCTCCATCTCATAAATCCATCAACCCCCAGTGCCCTTTTTTCATTTCAAGCCCCCCTTTAATGGTGTATTTAACACTAAAAAACCCCACAGAGTGTCAGGGGCAGGAAAGAGTGGGAAAATAAGTCAGAGTATATGTGGGTGCAGAGAGAGCATGGCCAGCCCCTTTCAGTGGGATTTTTGTTGTTCTTGCCAGGCACACACAGATCCTGGGGCTGCTCTGCAGAGTTCCCCATCCAACACAGCTGGGACAGATGTGGCAAATGAAAAATGCATATTTTATGATTGGCTTTTTGTAAATATTAAAATGAATATTATATGTGTTGTGTTAGAAAGTAATGCTGTATTAATTCTCTTAAGTAGTGTGTTCAATATAGCTTTAGGTTATAAAAAATGTTAAAATAGAAACTATGCTATGTAGGATACATTTTTTTCTAAAGAAAGGACTGGCAGTGAGATAGCAGCCACAGGACACCTGAATCTTTCAGAGAAAGAGAATTTATTGCTCCATTATCAGAAGAAATGAACTTCTTCCCACCTTGAGGGCACCGTCAGGATTCAGAGGAAGAAGTTGACACTGACCAGACAGAATTCTGTGTTTGAATGGAATTTATGCATCATTTATGAGATGTATGAATATGCAACAGGTTATTGTTTTTAAGGGTTAATCCTCTGTTAACGTGGGTCTTTTTTTGGGCTTGTGCTGCCCAGAAAAGGTACCCAGACTGTCCATAACTCTTTGTTTCTATTGTCTCATATTGTCCTAACTAAAATTGTCCAAAAATTTTATTACTCTAATTATATTGCTATTTTTATAACCATTTTATTACCATTAAACTTTTAAAATTTTAAAAACAAGTGATTGGCGTTTTTCACATGGCACAAGTGGGACAGATGTGCTTTGGGGCTGTCAGACCCCCGAAATGCCTCCACCAGAAACCCACAGTCTCAACCCCTGCAGCTGCAAACCAGGAGAGCCATTTCTGGAGGGAATTTATGGATTTAATTTAAATAAATCGGTGCTTTAAACTCGTGAAAACTTCACTGTCCAACGCTTGTAAACCCGAACCCCAGCGATCGGAGCAGCTCGGGCGCGAGCCGTAGGAAACAACACGGTTTGGATGACACATTTAAAGTTTTAATAATGAAATATAAAAGGAAACCATTCCCGCTGGCCGGGCGCTGAGTCCCGCGGGCAGGCCGGGAGCGGGCCGGGCACCGGCGGCCCGCGGGCCCCCTCTAACGGCCCGCCGGGGAACGGCCGCTGCCCCGGCCGCTCCGTCCCCCCCCGCCCGGGACAGCAGCACCGCCCCGGTGCCTCCCGGTGTCCCCGTAGTGTCCCCGACCCCTCAGCCCTGCCCGGGCCGCCTCAGGAACGCCCGAGCCCCGCGGGATGGAACTACAACTCCCGGCATGCTCCGGGCAGCGCCGCAGTCCCAGCGCGCACCGGGACACGGGGAGAAACCGCGATCCCACAATGCATCGGGGCAACCCCACGTTAACTGCGGCGCTGCGGAGCCGTTGATAAACGGTCTTAAACGTCATTAAACGTCATTAAGTGTCATTAATAATTCATTGGAGGTTTATTAAAGGCTTATTAGAGATTGAAAACTCAACTGCCCGCCCAGGGGCGTGAAGGGGAGGGGGGGTGTTTTACGCCTTCACTTCCGGAGAAGCCCACCGCGGTAGAACCACATTACCCAGCATGCACCTGCCGTGCCCAGGATTTCCGTTTCCGGCCGCGGCGGGAGCGCCGCCGTGTCCCCGGAGGGACGGCGGGGCCCGGGCGGTGACACCGGCGGTGACAGCGGGCAGGGCCGCGCCGGGCACAGCCTCCGCCGCGCTCCCCGCGCCGCCCGGGCCGGGCCGCCGCTCCCCCGGGCCGGGCGGGGTCACCTTCATGGGCGGGCGGGAGCTGCCCGGGGCCTGCTGAGGCGGCGGCGAAGCGGCGGCACCGGGAGCGGGAGCGATGTTCGTGCAGGAGGAGAAGATCTTTGCGGGGAAGGTGCTGAGGCTCCATGTGTGCACCATGGAGGGCGCCGAGTGGCTGGAGGAGGTGCCCGAGGACACCACGGTGGAGAAGCTCAAGGAGCGGTGCCTGAAGCACGTAAGGAGCGGGGACCGGGCTGGGCCACCGGGACCGGTTTGGGCCATCGGGAGTGCCCGGAACCCGGCGGGGCTGGGGCTGGAGATCATCGGGGACCGAGGGAACCACCGGCATTAACAGTCCGGGGGAAAGGAAAACTGTCCCGTGAGGAAAACTGACTTCTCCAACGCCCTGTAAATGACTTTAAAAAGAGGGGGGAATCAGCTCGGGTGCACAGGTGGCTTTGTGTCCTCGCTGTGTCTGCTGTTCCCCCGAATTGCTGTAAAACTGTTTCACACGGAAATAAAACCCCCTTTTGGAGAGTTTTGTGTTTTGGTAAAGGAGGATTTGGGCAGAGATCACTTGGAAATGTTTGGTTCCAGAGTTTGGGGTGTGTTTTGGAGCAGTGTCAGAGGTGCCCAGCTCCTGCCCGTGCTGTGGGAGCTGGACTCCACCCTGGTTTGTTTCTGTGTCTGAACACAGAAGGAAGGTAGGAACTGAGGAGGAGAAATTGCCTGTTCTGTTAAAGTCTGAGTACAGCCTCCCTACTGGAGTAGCTGAGGTGTTTTTGGGGGAGATCAGAACTCTCCTAACCCTCTCCCCGTGCTTTAAACAACGAGATCTTGGTGGAGGTGGCCAGAGAGGCACTGTGGAAGGGAGAAGGTGCCCAAGGAGGGCGCAGGCAGTGGGAGCAGGGCAGGGCAGCACAGCCTGGTCACTCCCGGAGCCCCTGGGCTGAGAGGAGGCTCAGCCACAGCCGGGGTTGCTGTCCTGAGTGACAGCAGCAGCCTGGGGCTGGTGACCATGGCCAGGAGCTGAGCCTGGCCTGGCAGCTGCACCCCTGACCTGCAGCATGGCTTCCCGAGGGACTGCAGCCCCAGAGCTGGCAAAAGCTGCAGCCTCAACCCCTCCCTCTGCCAGCTCAATTCACTAAATGTCGTTTAATGGTGAGGGGTTTGCCTTTAAAGGCTTGCAAAGGCTTTTTTTTTTTTTTTTTTTACATAAAACCTGTGCAATAGGAGATGCCTGTAATTTGTAACCGCTTAACTCCTGTTTGAAGGGTTAAAGGTTTTGTTTCCTGGGTGAAATAAAGGTGCCCAGGAGCCCTTCCAGTACCTGAAGGAAACAGGGAGAGAGGGATGGAGTTTTACAGGACAAGGAGAAATGGCTTCACACAGGTGAAGGCATTTCTCACAGAGACACAGAGCAGGTGTAGGCACAATTTGATAACTCAGGGTGATATTTGATTTCAATCTCTGCTGCTCTGTGCAAAAATCCATCCTGGGGTGGATTTCCATAGCCATCATGGATAATAAATAGTTTTTGGAGGGGGAAAATAGACCTGGAGAGATCATGGCTCCTGCTCATGGACTGAATCTTGGTAACACCTTGAGGTAATTTCTGCAGCCAGCTCTTCCAAGAGACTGATGATTGTGTTCCTGGATGTCTCTGAAATTTGAAATCTTTCAGGAAGCAGAGGGAGGTGTCTGTAACAGGTTGCAGCTGGGGAAGTGGCCACTTTTCCCTCCATAACCTTCAGATGCTGACTGATCTCTGAAGTGCCACTCTTGATGTCTTTATTTCCCCCAGATTTGGTGTTTTGGGCTCTTTTGTTAGACAAAGAAATAAACCTCTCCCACTGGTTTTTCTCCTTACCTATAATATTTGTTTAAACAGATGGTTTAAACCACCCAAGTTTAATAGGAGGGAATGTCAGGGCTATTTTCAAATGTTTCTGTTATTAAAATCAAACAAAACAAAAAAAAAAGGTTTTTCTGTATTTTAAAACAAACAAAGCCTTGTGGTTTACCAGGATTCCAAGCTTTGCAAGAGGTGTTTGGCATCACCAGGGATTAGGATTTCAGCAGTTGCTCAGGCACCTGTGACAAATGTTTGGAGCAGCCTGCTGGCAACTCCAAAATGAAAAAGCAAAGGTGAGAATGAGTAAAGGCACTGCTGGTCAGGTGTTTTTCCATTTGCAGGGCATTTGAAGTGTGAAGATAAGCCAGGAGTTTCACTCAGCAGCCTCTTTGGTGTCTCCAGTGCCCTTATCTGCCCTGTTATTCTCTGCAGCTGTTACTAAAGTGGTTGGAAGAACAGGAAATAAGAATTGACGACCACAGAACTTTAATTTTTTTGCTTAAACTTTTACCTGGTTAGTTTTACGATTAATTACTGCCCACATTTATTATGTGATTGTCCCCACATATTTTTTTAATATGTGCTGGGGGAAATGGCAGGAGGTCTGTGTGTCCACCCCAAAACCAGCTGCCAGCTCCTCTTACCTCAGGATCTGTACCAGGAATGTTCTGAGCTGCTTTGCAGAGATGTTCCACTGATGTCCCCAGGCATCTGGGGCTCCTTATCAGCTCCATTCCAGGAGCTGCTCCCAGCTGTTAATGTGTTCTTTGGCCTGGGTTCAGCACTTCTTGGGTTGGAGGCTCCCTGAGAGGCTCCTGTTAGACAGAGCAGCACTCAGATGTTCTCACCTCAATCTCAGGGAGGCATCAGAGCCACAGCCAGGTTCAGGTGAGGGGCTGGAATCCTGGAATCTGTGTTGGCAACAGAAATGTTTTGTTGGACAAACAGCAGGGAGCTGTTTCCACCAACTGCAGGCAGCAGGAAAGGTGGCAGTGGAGTGAAAAGGCTCCTTTGCAGGAGGCTGGTGATGAACAGCACCAGAATTAAGGATTTTCAGTGGGGTTTCTGTTGCACAAAAGGTGAACATTCTCTTCTGCAGACATGGTGGAAGTGGCTTGGTAGGAACATTTGGCAGTGGCATTAAAAGCTGTTTGCTGTGGGCAGAGCAGGCAAGGTCAGTATGGAGTGTCCTGTTTTGTGGTGAGAGCAGCAATTTCAGGTTGTTATTTCTAATCTTGCCTTTCTGGAATTGCAAGCACTTTGCTTTCTTTGCTTTGCACTCAAACAAATTGGAAGCCTCTAGACGCACTGATGGAATAATGTTCCTGAAATCTTTCACTGTGCATCTGGAGCCACTCTGGTGTGAGGAGGAGGCAGCTCAAGGCCTGTGTGAGCACTCTGTTTTTAGGATTTGAACTGATTTCCTGGTGAATTAATTGACATGCAGTTTAGAATTGCAATAAGGGAACGGGCACAAAAAAAATTCCATTGTAATCTGGTTATTTATGGTTGGGAGGAAGAGCTGTGAATGGAACTTTAGTTCAGCCCTTTCAGCAGGAACCTAGGTTATGGCTCCAGCAGGCAAATCTCTTTATTTCAGCTTGAAACAAGGCACAGAAACTGCCCAGTTTAAGGTCAGAGAAACCAAAATCACTGCTGGCAGTGCCTTGTCTACTCAGAGAGTAAATAATAATTACGAGGTGAGGCAGGGAATCTGTCCTGTTTGGACATTCCAAATGAGGACATGCATCATTCCAGCCTTCCCTCCTGTAAAACACTGCTGCTCCTGGTAGATTTGCATTTTTACTTTGTGAAACCAGTTTCTGAGGGACCTCAGTGATCAGAATTTATGTAGCACTGGGTTCTGGAGCATCCTTGCTTTGCTCCAAATCTCCAGCACTTCCAGAGTTTAGTGTGAGAGAGATGTCCTGAGAAAGCACAAATCCTCCCACACAGGCACAAATCAAACCTCATTTTCTTTAATAAAATGCTTTATGTGCACTGACCTCTGGCTTAAGCTCTTGAGAAGCCAGGAAATGATGCAGAGTTTGTATGTGGAGGATCCTGAGTGCCAAGTGCATGAGGAGCCTCATTTCTCTTTCTGATCTGCAGTGTTTGTTGTCTCCTGCAGTGTCTTCCTGGGAGCTTGGAGGATCCCAAAACTGTGACACATCACAAGCTGATCCATGCTACTTCTGAGAAGGTGCTGACAGACACAAAAACAGTGTTGGAGGAGAACATTCAGGACAGAGGTGAGATTGTCTGGCTTTGAATTTTACCAGTCTGGAAGGAGGAGCTTGGGTTTCATCTGGCACGTTCCAAACGTTTTTAAGATTTTTTTCTCTCTGCTTTGACATAGGAAGCGAAATAAATGGAATTAATACAAAATTCATCTCCAGGAGCAGTTGAATTTGAGGGGTATCTTGCAGAGCTGCTCTCCCAGACTCTCTAACCTGTGGCAGTGCCCTTCTCTCTCTCTCTCTCTCTCACAGATGTGCTGCTGCTGGTCAAGAAGCGTGCGCCGATGCTGCTCCCCAAGATGTCAGATGTGGTTGCAGAGGAGAAAGTGAGTCTGGAACACTTTGGATTAACTGCTTTATTGATGGTGTGGGGCAGGGTTTCTGTGATGTACTCTCCTTGGAGAGGCACATGCTGCCAGTTGAATTCTACAGGAACCGCTTCCTATTTCTTCCAAACTTAGAGGAAGCTGATTTTGCATTTTTAGCTGTCATTCTGAGAACATTTGCCTTAAAATAAGACACACAGATACACTCTGTGAAAATGTTATAGATTTGATCTTTGAACAAATGTCTAATAACTAAAATACAGTTCAGCAAGTGCCTTAGTTTGTTAGAAAACCCAAAGAAATATGTTGGCTTGCTGTCAGGTTGCCTTCTGTCACCCTCTAACCAGCCTCTGGAGCTGGAATGTTGCCCTTGACTGTTTTATTTTGTTTTATTGGAGTTGTTCCTGAGGGTCAGGATGGTGTTGATGCACGCTGATGTATCACATAAACTCAGAGGCCTCCAAGTTCTCTGGGATCCATCACTGTCCCTCTTTGTGCTGGAATTTCCCTGCTTGTTTAGGTGTAAGGACTGAAAGTGGGGCAGCCCAACAGGCCCAGCTGAGCTCTGTAATTGCAGGATGACACTGGAGCTGTTAATCCATGGCACTACAAGTGACAGAGCACTGCTTGGTGTCTTGGGGAGGAATATGAAACTCTGTGCTGTGCCTAATGGGTTATGAAACCTGCTCCTGTTCCCTTCCCTGCAGAGGAAGCAGGAGCAGAAGGCTCCTGACAAGGATGCCATCCTCAAAGCCACTGCCAACCTGCCCGCCCGCAGCGTGGACCGCAGCGTGACCCACCACAACATGAGGGATGTGAGTACTGCATCTCTGAACTCACACACCCACAGCCCAACAGGCTGCTTTCTATTTATTTTATATAATTCTTTTTTTCTATAAGAGAAATTTAGATGTCTGTAATGTATATTAAACAGCTTAAGGTTTAGACACAGCGCATGGTAATAAAATACCGTCCGAAATTATGATTTAAAACGTTTTGTTTGTGCTTGGAAAAAGCCTCAGAGCATATTCAAGATCTGGAAAATGTGAAGTTATTTTGTTTCTTCAGTCTTAACTAATTCAGGGGTTTCCTGTGGTTTATTTCCCTTCCTTGACCGCTGCTCATGGGGTGTGGTGGAAATTAAAAGGAACTTTCTGCCCAGGAGCTTTTGCTTCCATGTAACACTTCACAGGAAGGTCCCAGACCTCCTGAGAGACTAAACAATGAAAATCAAGCCCTAATAAAGCAACTTAGTATACAGAGGGCCAGGCTGCTGCTGTGTTACTAACAATAGATACATTAAGATTCAACGATGGCTGGTAACTTCCTGTCTAAATGCTTTGACAGTTTCCTTTCTTGCAGTTCCAGACAGAGCTCCGGAAGATTTTAGTGTCTCTCATAGAAGTTGCACAGAAACTGCTAGCACTGAACCCAGATGCAGTTGAACTATTTAAGAAGGCAAATGGTATGAACATATCTTTATAGAGTTGTTGGTTCAATCCTGGGAATTTGTTTTTGGAGCATAGCAATGGGCTCAGAGTGAAGTTCAGACACTGATGTGGCAGCAAAGCTGCTGAAAACTTTGTGGCAAAAGTTTCACCTTGTGGATAAAAATCATGGATATAAAATGTCACTTTGGGATGGGTGAGAAGTTCCATTTAAAATTATTAGTAGGGATGGTAAAGAAAAGTTGAAAATTCACAAGGATGTAGTAAAATGAGGAGAAATTGTGGCTGTTGATCAGGTTGGCAGGAAATGCCCATCCTTGAAATCTGCAATGGCCGCATCCAACTTAATTTCTAGAGAAATGCTTAATAGATCTTCATATATTTAATTGTGTGGAAATCCCATGGTCATGTGAGAGTTAGTGGCCTTTTGTTTGAGATCTTGAACACATCTGGACAAAGTCTTTGTCCTGGAAGAATCAATCTGAGCTGGATCGAGCTGAGTGCAGCAAATTACATGATGAGGTGGCAAAGTGGGGGCAGAAACAAAAGAGGGGATGGGAGAGAGAATGGGGCTTGAACTTAACACATGCCTTTCCATTGACACAGGGGTTTATGTGAGGCTGGAATGAATGTGAGCTCTGTTCTGTTTGTGTGTGTGCAGCCATGCTGGATGAGGATGAGGAGGACAGGGTGGACGAGATCGCGCTGCGCCAGCTCACCGAGATGGGCTTCCCAGAGAGCAGAGCTGTCAAAGCCCTCAGGCTGAACCAGTGAGTGGCCAGCACTGCCTGGCACTTTAACCCAGATCTGCTTTAATGCATATTTGCATCTTTTTGGTCTCCTGATATGGGTCACCTCAGTGGGGGCTGGAGAGAGCCTGAACTCCAAGAAGTGCTGCCTCAGGCACGGTGCAGGTGGTGCAGGGAAGGGGGATCAGGGCTGGATGTGCTCTGCAAGGTCTGGGGGTCACAGGGCTGCCAGGCTGGCACTGTTTCCAAAAATCAAACTCACATTTTCTTCAGCTTTCAAAGTCAGATTTTACAGAGGAAAGGGCAGACTTAGCCCATACACACTGACCTTTCAACTGTAGAAATATACTTTGTGCTGATCTTTAAAAAATTCCAAGAATATTGTGAGGTCCAGAGAGCAACTGCAGTAAAGTAGGGGGTTATGTAGTTCTTCTCATGCCCAAAGAACAGGCAGCTGTACTGCCTCACTCCTCAGAGGGGTTTGTTAGGCCATTCTTGAAAAATTTTGGTGATAGAGTCCACAACATATTCCAATCACACTTTTCCAGTATCTCAGGAAGACTTTCTCCCCTGCTATTCTGCAGCTTTCATGTTGTAACAGAAAAGCCAACAGGCATAGGCTTTCCCTTCCTTCCATGAATATGTAATAATAATTCCTTTGTGTCAAATGGAATCACACATTCCTTGCACTATTGTTATCTTGGCTCTTTCTTTTCTGCCTCTTGGGGAGAGGTGTTTGGGAGCTCTGAGGCTCCCTTAGCTGGAGCAGTGACACTGCACAGCCAGTGATGGTGTCACCCCATGGTGTTCTGAGGAACAGAGCCCTTGGCCCCTGAAATGTGGCTGCAGTGCAGATTTGGAACGTGCTTTGTTGGCAGTTCTGTCCACAGCTGCAAGCAGACAGTGCTTCTTTGGGAAACTCAGCAGATGCTGCAGAGGGTGAGGTGACCCCCTCAGAAATGCCTTTCAGAATCTGGGTTGCAGGTCCAAGCTGCACTTGGAGCCTCTCTTTTCCCAGGTTCAGCCTGTGGATACTCAGAGAACTGAGGTGTTTTGTTTGCTCCAAAACTTTCTTAATGAGTTTTCAGGTGCTAATTAATCTGCAGGTGCATCCAGCATGGTAATAAAGAGCGCGCATGGAGCGAGTGTCACATCCTCAGCGCTGTTCCCGTGTGTTTTGCAGCATGTCCGTGACCCAGGCCATGGAGTGGTTGATAGAACACGCTGATGACCCTTCTGTGGATGCTCCTCTGCCAGGTTCTGCTCCTGCAGAAGCCCCAGCTGAAGGTGCTGCCTCCTCTGCTGAGGCAGCTGCGGGGCCCAGCTCGGAGGAGGGCGGGGAGGAGGCCAAGGATGAGCTGACTGAAATCTTCAAGAAGATCCGCAGGAAAAGAGAATTTCGTCCAGACCCACGGGTGGGTGCTGCTCCTCCCCTGTGGGGCTTGTGGGACTGGGAGGGGATCTCATGGGCACCATAAAATCCAAATGTTTCGTTCATAAATGAAATGGGCCCTCTGGGTAGATGGGTGTTGTGCTGGCTTGGCAGTGTTCCAGTGAGGTGTTCAGGGAGTGTTTAAATTTAGGGATTTTACCTCAGGAATGCATCACTGTCTGGGATAGCAGGATCTACGTGAAAGGCACTGTTATTCTGCACCTGGAAACTCTCTGAGGGGACTGACATGAGCTCCAGACCCCTGGCATTGCTGTTTTCACTGCAGCCTGGGAAGGAAGGGTGGCAGGACGGGAGTACATCCTTTGGCTGTAGAAAAGGCTGGGGTGGTGCAAAGTGTCCTGCTCCTGGCAGAGAGTTGGAGCTGGATGATCTTTAAGGTCCCTTCCAACCCAAACCATTCCACGATTCTGTGGAAAGGACAGAAGGACATTGTTTTAGGGAACAAGGCAAAGTGCCAGCAGCAGGTTGAAGTCTTGCAGCAAGGACAGAAGTTGCCCTTTGTTCAGAGCACAGCATTACCTGCAGTGGGAATGTGTTGTTCTCCCACTGGGAGCACACCAGGAGGGGCCCTGTGACATCTGGCACCTTGGGTTTACAACTGGCTGCTCTGAGATTTGGGTTAGGAGCTGCAGATGGGTTTGATAGCCTGGGTGCAATTTCTAAATAATGAAACATTCTGGTGCCATTATCTGGATATGTCTGAATACATCACACTCACCAGCAGTGTAGTAAATCTGGGAAGTGAAAATAAATGGGGTGAATAGAACCACAAATGCACATCAAGGCTGATCTGTCACTGAGATGTGAACAAGAGCTTTGTGACAGGAGAGGAGCTCCAAAATGAGGGGTTTTTCCTCATTTTCCTTCTCTTTTCTACCCCAGGTACACTTGCTCTTTGCCTTGCATTCAGCTTCCAGTGTTGAGGGTAGGAACTACCATCAGTCCTAAGATTTTTTTCTTCTTCCATAGTAATGACACTTTTGATATAGAATATTTGAAAACTTTGTTAATAAAATTACTGAGTGCTCTGCATGTGGAAATAATGAGGGGGTTTTACCTCACATAAAGCTGTGCACAGAAGGTGAAGGGAAATGATTGCTCTCATTTGTGATCTAAATGTAAGATTTATTAAGCTGTGGGCTTCTGCTCTAGGCTGTCATTGCCCTGATGGAGATGGGATTTGATGAAAAGGAAGTGGTGGATGCACTCAGAGTGAACAACAACCAGCAAAATGCAGCTGTGAGTACAACATCCTTCCTGCTCCAAGGGTCTGTCCCACTGATGCTTCTCTGCCTTGCCTGAGTCATGTTTTGATCTGTCAGACAGTGAACTCCTACTGAAGATTCAGGAGCACAAATTCTGTGCCTCCTCGAAGTTGGATACACAACTGGAATGACTGCAAAGGGTCTGGACTCCTCTGAGAGCTCAGGGTCTGTGAGGCTGAGGCTGGGCTGTCACAAAAGCCTTTGAGAAACTCCCTCACCACAGTGTGAGATTGTGCTGTCCTAGGAAGAAGGAGATACTCCCAAGAATGACTGGTTTAGGACAGGAATCAATGATCCAGGATGGATTCAAGCCATATAATGTGTAAATTGCCATTTAGCAGCAATGCTTCCACAGTTTCTGCAATCAGAAAACAGGAAGTTTTTCCAAGATTAATTAGTCCCCTGCTGTATATTAAGGATAATTTTGTGGACACAGCTGACAGCCAGGGAAGCCTCCCTTCAGTATCCAGTGCTGGCTGCTGTTGGAGAGAGGATATTGGGTTGGGTGGCACAAATGAATGTGTGAAAAGAAATGTAGAGCTCAGGCTTTATCTGGGAGATGGAAAAGCATTTTTAAAATGCCACGTTGGCAAAACTTTGGAGTAGAGCCACTTTGGTTCTAATGAAATCTGATGTGCCTGCTGATTTCTTTCAGTGTGAGTGGCTGCTGGGAGACAGAAAACCTTCTCCAGAGGACTTAGATAAGGGCATTGACACCAACAGCCCTCTCTTCCAAGCCATCTTAGAAAACCCAGTGGTACAATTAGGGCTCACCAACCCTAAAACTCTACTAGGTAAGTCCTGTGTGGGTTCCTGCTGGGTTTGCCAGGAATTCCAAGCAGAGATGATGGTGACAGCTCCTTTGGGGGACAGGGCAGCTCTGAGCCTGTTCCTGCCTTGCAGCAGCTCTGCTGCTGGTTTGCTTCATGCTGCAGCTCAGCTGAGCCCAGAGCAGGCCTGGGGGCTGTCCCAGGAACGGTTGTAATTCCCCAGGATGACACTTGCTGAACTCACAACTTGAATAGCTGCTGGCTGCAGTGCTTTGTGGATTTAGGAGACCTTTTGTGTGCTCCCTTTGGCCATGAGGGGAAAAATCAGGAATGTCTGTCTAGAACTCTGACTATCTCACAGAAAAAGCAAGGCTGTCTCCAGCTGTGCAGCCCCTGTGTGTGAGGCCTGATCACTGAGACAGAGGGGAACTTGTGGAAAAAGATCCAAACAAGAAGGATGAGCTAAGGCTTTGCCTATCAAAATGGAGATCAAATGGGAAAAGGCCCTTCCCTTTGCTTGAGTCTGAGCTCTGTGGCAAAGTCTGTGTGCTCAGGGTCAGAAAGGCTGTGGGCACAGCGTGTGCCCAGCTGAGGAGACTGACAGAGCCCCAAATCCCTCAGGAATTGTTCTTTTTGACAACACAGAACAAACATTGAAGGACTAACAGTTGCAATCCCTTTTTCTTGGCAGCCTTCGAGGATATGCTTGAAAACCCCTTGAACAGCACTCAGTGGATGAACGATCCCGAGACGGGGCCGGTGATGTTACAGATCTCCCGAATCTTCCAGACACTGAACCGCACGTAGAGGGAGCTGCCAGTGCACTGTGCCACTTCCCCCTGGCCTCACTCCCCCTCCACCTCCACGGGAGGCTGCCTGGATGGTTGGGAAGGGGTGGAGGGAAGGGAGGGAAGGGGGAAATCCTGGCTGGAGGGGTCTCTCACACAAGAGAGTTCGTAGTTACGGCCAACAGGAGTGAGTTGCCTTGTGCATTTTAGTGTTAGTGGAAGAGCTTTGAGGATTTGTCCATGTTTTCAGGTATTAGGTTTAAAATAAAGTATATATATTAAAAAAAAATAGGAAAAAGGTTTTGTGCAAACATTTAAGAATCTGATTGTTGGAAAGAAATATTGCTCGTTCAAAAGGCCTGTGACAGTTTTCTGGCCAGTTTTGCTAGGATCTGGCTGGTGTTTACAAAAGGTCACTGACCACTAGCATAGGATATTAATCATCTCCATACAGTATTAATTTATAGCTCTTATCAAATTGCAAAACTGCTTTTTAAAAAAAAAAATGATTCTTAGGAAATGTTTTTTAAAAGCCCAAATCTTGGGAGAGCAAGCACATTTCTATCCAAGCTTGTTTATCTGGCATTCTAATTTAAGCAGAATCATTCAGAGATGGAATTCTAATAAATAGCATTACTTTTTCCTATTTATTTGCTGCATTAGTGTTGTTGCAGTCCCACTGGGGTTGTACTTGCAGGGGGTTCTCTGTCAGGTACCATAAAGGTGCAGGATCTCTTTCACCACAGAATTCACCACATCAAGACCTGGATTCCCAAGTGGCTGCAAGTCCTAAGCTCACACTCTACCATATCCCATTGCAAGGAGGGATATGTTCACACAGTGTTGGTTTTTTTCCCATTTTTATGTGCACAGTTTTGGCAAGGGGCTTGTGGGGGTTTTATTCTGTTTACAAACAAAAAGCAGCTGAATTGCATGGGGAGGTTGCTGGGGTTCTGTAAAGCAGCAGAACCACATAGGTTTTTATCTTGTTTAAGGTATTTAAAGCACGCTTGAAATTGCTGTCTTTGAGTTAGAAGTGGGTTTTTCTTTATACTTATTCTTACCATGGTCATACCAAGAATGTCAGGCTGGGTCTTTCCTATTTTGCCAGAAGAGTGACTTGAGATTTCAGAGAGGAATTCTGAGCTATTAAGAGCAGAACTCAGTGTGAATATCCAGTTGGTGTTTGTGATTGGGCTCTGCAGGTGTTCCATTTTTAGCAGTCTGCTAAAAAAAGGAGGTTTATTTTTCAACTTAGTGCAACATGATTGACATCTGTCATCATCCCCGCCATGCCTTGTGCTTCACAGCCCTGCAGGAAAGGCAGAAGAGGCAAATTTTGCAGAGAAAGCAGGTGGAGACCCTGTGCTTAAACAGCACAAAGGTGTCCTGCCAGACAGGGAGATCCTGAGCAAGTCACCTCTGGGCTGTGGGAGGGATTTAGGTGCAGTTGGGGTTTTTTAAACAAAAATGCAGCAAGATGCAACCTGAAACCCTGCAACAAGTTTTGGCCTGAACTTGGCATCTGCTCTGTGCTCTTATGCAGCTGAGGCACTGAAGTTGCCAATTTCTCATAATTAATATGAAGAAGGGTGGGGAAATCAAAACAGCCTGAGATTTTATCTTGTCTTACTATCCCAGGATTCTTTTATTTTTTTTAATTTTGTAATTTCGTATTAAGCTTTACAGTTGATGACTGCTGAAATATTTACTTCTACATTTGGAAATTCCAAGCTTTATAGAGATGTTTCTTCTGTTCAAATTGGACAGTAAAACCATTTTTGTGGGCTCTTGCTAAGAATAGACTGACATGACATGAAATTATAACCTTGTCCTGTAACTGAAGCCAGGAGCCTGATCCTGCACCCCAGTGAGCTCAGCACAGCTACTCATGAGTAGCTGTGACTGAATATTGTGGTCTTATGAAAGGTTTTGATCATTTAATCCTATTTTTTAGCTTACTCCTGAAGCTTTTTGCCTGTAATAATACCAGAAGATTTTTTACTTGAAGCTCTTAATGTTAGAAGGAAATGTTCCTCTCTACGGTCAGGGTTGTGGTTAATATTCCTTTTAATGAGTGCTTTTAGAAGGCAAAGTTGGGGAAAACTACCCTGTAGTTTGGTGGGAGGTTTTTTGGCTTCTGAATGGATAAGGAGAGGTTCAGAATGAGCAAACAGATCCTTTGGGGCAGTTGTGGCTCTTGAAGAATGTAAAGGCTTGGGAAATGCTGGGTTTGATGTCAGGAGTCCATGGTTGGACTGCAGAGCTCAGAGGGATGCAGGAGCTCAGAGATGCCTCCCTTGGAATGGCAGCACCCCTCAGTGCCACTGAGCTGTTACAAAGGCTGGGGAACAGCACCAGGAAAACAGATTATCCTTATTGATAGGAGGTGAGGATGCCCAGGTTCAGCAGCAGCAGTTGAGAGACCCCAGGGATAAAGGAATTCTGCATTTTAGGGTGCCGGGAGGCTTGAGAAGATGTGGTTATTTCTGGATTTTGTTATTGCAGAGCTCAACACTTGCACAGCTGAGGTGTTGTTTGGGATGGCTTTAACAGAGCCCTGCTTGGCTTGTGAGAACTGAAGGTTGCAGTGGGCAAAAGCTGAAGGAGACCAGAATTTAGGAGCTGTGGTGTTTGCAGCAAGGCCCAGGAGTTGATTTAAAGCCAGCAAAAACTCCCCTGATGAGGTTGAAGGAATTGATCCAGACATCAGAGGTGCTGGGCCTCCAGCTCGTGGCTGCTTCTTGGCAGCCCCTGTCACAGACCTGACCCAAAGCTTGGCCCCCTTCCTTCTCTCCTGGAACCAAACTTCCCTTTCAGAGATTGGTTTTCATATCCAAGCATCTCTTTAGTGGTTCTTGAGATCCTTTTCAGTTAGGACTGTTACAGTTACTTTTTTGAGGTGTTCACACCAAAACAAGCATCGCACCAAACGAATGTACAGCGACACTGTCAGCAAACACTGCCTGGGGAAGGGGCACAGGTTCCTGTGAGCTCTGCTCCAGTGGCAGTTTTCCCAAAGGCTTGTGCAAAGGATAGCCAGTGTTTCATCCAAAGGAACCATCCTGGTTTTTTACTTTTAATACTAATCCCATTTTTATTAACCAACAGAACAGCGGCGCTTCCAGCTGGTATTTCCATCCAGCTGAGAGTGCTGGAGCTTTGGGGCTGGAGATCCTGCCTGGATCCCCCTCTCTGGGCCAGCTGCTCCTTGGAAGGATTTGTGCTGGCTGTGGCAGGGCACTGGGGGCAGTCCCCACCTCCCTGCACGGGGTGTTACATGCACGTGAGTGTTCTCGTGGTGGTTCTCGCCTCCATCCCCACATCCAGTGTAGCAAAAGGGTTTTTTTAAGGACCTCTTGCCCTAGATTTGAAGATCTTCACTGCAGATCCTGTTTGCAGCATGTGAACTTCAGTAAATGTAAATGCATTAAATTCTTACTGAATTTGGGTATAGTTTTCTATCGAGCTCTGGGGAGAGGGAGGAAATTGGATCACGTTTGAAACGAAGCCCCACAAACCCAAATGTCTCTGTTGCAGCAGGTAACAGAGGCCTGTAGAGATTTTTAATTTGCATATTTTTATCATGGCTTAATGAACTGTACACGAATGTGATTTGCTACCCAGCACTTCCCACGAGGCAGCACCAGTAAAATTACATTGCAAGGTACTGACTTCACATTTTCTCATTTCACCTGTGTATACAGCAATTAGGTACTGCATAGGGTAACTTTGATCTGGCTCTGATGCCGGTGTGTGGCATGCACAGCTCTTCCTAAGGTGTAACATTACTTTTCTGAAGCTTAAACTAGGGCAGACATCCCTGAGCCTGTGGAATTCGGGATTCATCCTGGCCACGCTCGCGTGGGTCGCCGACCTCTCCCTGAGCAGGAAAACCAGCAGCATTTGCTCCCTGCAGAAATCCTCCGGGCCAAAAGCAAGGAATGCTGCTAATTTGTGATCATTTTAAGCAGTTGCTGTTCTGAAATATATTCCTGCAAGTCAGGGAGGTGTTGGCAAGGCCAGACCTGTTCAGCCTGGAATTGTTTTGTGTGGAGATGTGGAACCCGTGGCCGGGGCTGGAATGAATGCTGAGGCTTTAAACCTGCTCACACATAACCCCAGACACCCATGTTGTGTGTGCTGTACATTTATAATATATCTTCAAAATAAAGTTTTTTGATTTATTACAAGGTGTTCGGAACCATCATTTGCAGGAGCAGCAAAGGTTTGTGGATCCACGTTGTTCAATGGTCCTTGTTCCTGCAGGTTGCTGGAATTGTCTCTCAGAAAGTGGGGTATGAGAGCTGCTCATACAGAGTTTGTGCAGGAAATCCTGGTTCAGCAGCTGGTTTTGCACCTGGAAGGTATTTCTCTGTTTTTCAGGAAAAGCTGCACTTGGGGAGATTGACTGTAAGGGCTTTGTGAAACACGACCTGGTGATCCCCTGGGATGTTCCGATGCCACTGAAGATGGATTTATCTTGACAGCTGTTGAATGACAAATTGAAATCATTTCTTTCACAACAAGGGAACCCTCATTAAGGAGAACAGCTCCAGCAAGCAGCAGCTGGTGGGATGCAGCAACTTGCACGTGCCGGAACCAAAATTCCCATCTGGCAGTCGTGGTGCCAGCGCTGCTGTGGGAGATGGGGAAGCACTTCCAAGCCTTGGCCCTCTCCATGGGTGCCTTGGAGGTAACTGATGGGGGTGTCAATGTGTGAGCTTCTTTCTGTAAAGGAGAGAGAATCTGTAGAGTTCATTTGGGCTTTTTTAATTAACTAGCATTTTCTTCCATGTTCAGGGCAAGGAACCTGCCAGCAGCCTGTTTATTTAGCAGCTACAGCAACTGCTGAGGAGTTCAGAGTGATTTTCATTGTGTCCCATGAGAGATGGAGGATTAGAGTGTGAGACATCAAAATGCTGCTTGCTCAGGTCACGTTGGTAAATGTGGTGGTGTTCAATGCAGGTGTTTGTGGTGTCAGGCCCTAACTCAGGTTTGCTGTAATGCACAGCACAGCAGCAGGACAATTCAAAGGTTTGGCTCTCCACTAATTTACAATTAAAACAAAACAAAAAAATTACCTTAAAGCAGCTTGGGGATGTATCATTAGATAATGACACTTGTGAACCTAAACTGGTCCAGCAGGTCTGGGCAGAAATCCACACCTTCAAAATGAAGAGGTGCTGCTGTGTGAGTGCCAGGAGGGGCTGGAATTGGCGTGTGTTTGGCAGCTCCCGGAGCGCCCTCGGCGCAGGGACGTGTCCCGGGCTGCTCCAGCAGGGAAGAGCAGCAGCTCCAGCCCGGGAGCCGCCTCCAGCAGGGCCCAAATCCATCTCAGAGGGCGGGGAAGGGAAGCACAGGGTGCACTGGGCTGTGGAGGAGCAGCTTGGTGTTGGCAAGGTGAGCCACTGCTGACAGCACAGCGGTGTGGCAAGAGTGGTTCCCAGCGCTCCGTGGGTGCTGTGCCGCTGCCATCCCAGGATTGGGCTGGAGCAGAATTAAGGAAGAAATTACTTTCTCTTGTAATTCAAAAGCTTTCACTTCAACTGTAGGACTTGTGAGCTGGATGTGGGTCCTGCAGAATGGCTGGAAGGAGGGCAGGGCTGCAGTGTACGTTTGTGAGCTCAGTCTGGGTGCCAGTGAGTGTGACCTGAGCTGGGACACAGCCCGGGCCCTGCAGATCCTGTGTCACCAGGAATCTGGGCACTGCTGGGGCTGAGGGAGGGACTCCAGTAACTCGAGCTGTGCTGGACCAGACCACGCTGGACTGAAATAAACCTGGAGAGGTGACCAGCTCTGTGATCACGCCAGGGCTGTGATTCAGATGCCTGGCAGAGGAGATGGTGCCCATTTAAAAAGGCTGAGTTCAGATGCCAGGGGCTCCAGCAGCACATCCAGCTGTGGGCTGCAGGTGGGATGCAAACCCCATGTGGTGGGGTCCCTGCACCAGCCCTGCACCCTGGGGTGCAGCACTGCAGCTTCTGTCATAAAGTGCTGTAAAGCGCGACTGTCGCTAAATTGCCGTTAAAAATTGGCGTGGTGGGACTGGGACAGAGCCAGAGGGACAGACGAGATCCCGCTCCCCCATACTGCCCTTGGAGCTCAGTTCTGTTCACAAAGCCCCAGGTTAAGAAAACAGTTGAGAAATTACTTACTTTGGCTTCCCCTGGCACCAGGACTGGGTGAAGGTCTCTCCTCAGAGGGGATGCATTGGACCCCTCGCGTTCAGGCCCGTTTCTCCTGCACATCCTCCCTCTGGAACACTGCCCTGCAGTGCCCAGCACTTGTGTCCGGCATGGTGGGAGCTGCAAAGGGACCTGGCTTGGAAACCAGTCAGGAGCAGGCAGGAATGTTTGCTGGGCACACACACAGGGGGCTCAGCACCAGCACAAACCAATGCTGCACATACAGAGGTTTTTCAGAGGGATCTGGCAGCACATTTTCTCAGAGCTGGGCCGTGCGGGGTTTCCTCACGTGCCATCTGGTTGCCACAGCCAGGAGCACGGATGCCTCCATCCCCTCCACTCATAGGCTCTGCTAGACTGAGCCTGATGAGACAGAGGAAGTATTTTTAGTGGGATGAGAGTCCTGCACGAGGCTCTGTGCTGAGCAAGAGCAGGCAGTGATGCAGCAGCTCCATCATCTCCAAAAAATAAACTTTTATCAACCCTCCATGGGAGCAGCCCCCAAGGCATCACAGCCCCAGGCAACATCCCCCACCAGACCCCTCCTGGGGGCTCCTGGGCATCCCTTATTCCATGAGGCTGGAATCAGGGAACCCAACACTTGGGGCTTTTATTTTTAGCCCAGCAAACTATAAATACAGCCCACGGTAACCCACGGGAATCTGAGCGACTGCTGGGCCTGGGAAGTGACAGCACCAGGGAAGCCGAGGCTGCCAGAGCTGCAGCAGCAGGGCTCCAACAGGCAGGGCTCTGCCCTACTCCAGACACCTGGCCTGGATGGAAACACCTCCAACCACTCATGGATTGGGCTGCACCAGGCATGGGGCTGCTGCAGGGGGGACAGGGGGCTGGCAGGAGGAGTGGGTGCTGCTTGTGGCTGACAGGAAAGGGGAGAGGAGGGGTGGGGAAGGTTCACCGGAGGATTTCGACTTTCTTCTTTGCAAATCTGGCCTCTGACTTCATCCCAGTCTGTTAGCTGAAAATTATCAAAATATTTTTGTGAGTTTTCTAATTTTGGGATTAATGCTGGGGAATTTTCAGGGTTTAATGTCTCATTTTGGGTCGAGAAATCTGTCCCAAACACTGGGGGGACCCTGTAGCTGTTTGGGAACAGTTCTTTTTCGAAATTCTTTTGTGTTGGGATCAAAGGGTTGGCATTTGCAGGGGCAAAATAATTCTCTGTCTGTCCTGTATTTATTAAAGCAGCTGTCATATTCCGCCCTCCCCGTGAAAAACGCCAATCACTTGTTTTTAAAATTTTAAAAGTTTAATAGTAATACAACGGTTATAAAAACAGTAATACAATTACAGTAATAATAATTTGGACAATTTGAATTAGGACAATATGAGACAATAGAGCCAAAGAGTTATGGACGCCCGGATACCTTTTTGTGGCCAGCACGAGCCCGAAAAAGGACCCACGTTAACAGAGGGTTAACCATTAAAAACAATAACCGTTAAAAACAATACCGCGGAAGGATACAAGGCTGCAGTTTTCGCCCGCTGTGGTGCCGTGAACGGACCCGGTGGCGGTGGAAGCGGCGTGCCAGGGCAGAGGGATGGCGGCCGTGGCCGCGCAGCGGCTCGGGACCGGGACCGGGACCGGGCTGCAATAAAGCAGCGGCGGCCGCGGCGGGGGGCGGCGGCGGCCGCGGCGGCCGCGGCGGGGGGCGGCGGCGGCGGGGGCGGCGGGGGCGGCGGCGGGGGCGGCGGCGGCCGCGGCGGGGGCGGCGGCGGCGGCGGGGGGGGCGGCGGCGGCGGCGGGGGCGGCGGGGGCGGCGGCGGCCGCGGCGGGGGCGGCGGCGGCCGCGGCGGGGGCGGCGGCGGGGGCGGCGGGGGCGGCGGCGGCCGCGGCGGCCGCGGCGGGGGCGGCGGCGGCCGCGGCGGGGGCGGCGGCGGGGGCGGCGGGGGCGGCGGTGGGGGCGGCGGCCGCGGCGGGGGCGGCGGCCGCGGCGGGGGGCGGCGGCGGCGGCGGGGGCGGCGGGGGCGGGCGGCGGCCGCGGCGGGGGGCGGCGGGGGCGGCGGCGGCCGCGGCGGGGGGCGGCGGCGGCCGCGGCGGCCGCGGCGGCGGCGGCGGGGGGGCGGCGGCGGCGGCGGGGGCGGCGGCCGCGGCGGCGGGGGCGGCGGCGGCCGCGGCGGGGGGCGGCGGCGGCGGCGGGGGGGGCGGCGGCGGCGGCGGGGGCGGCGGCGGCCGCGGCGGGGGCGGCGGGGGGCGGCGGCGGGGGCGGCGGCGGGGGGCGGCGGCCGCGGCGGCGGCCGCGGCGGGGGCGGCGGGGGCGGCGGCGGGTGGCGGCGGCGGCCGCGGCCGCGGCCGCGCCGTGCAAATAGAACTGCGCATGCGTGCGGCTGATCCCGGAAGCGGCGCTGTGGTTGGATGAGCCGGCGCGGAGTGATATCGCTGGTGCGGGAGGGGGGGGGGAGGGGGGGGGGCCGTCTCTAGGGCAGCCGTAACGGCGGCGGGCGGGCCGGGGGGGGTGCGGGAGGCGGCGGGAACGGGAGAAGGGGCTGCGGCCGCGGCAGGGAACGATACGGGACGGCCGCGGTTGCAGGAGGCGGCGGAGCCGCGCCATCCAGCAGCTCTGAAGCGGGGGGCCGCGCTGGGGAAGGCGCGGCTCGGCCGGCCATGCAGCGGCAGCGGCAGGAGCGGCAAAGCGGCCACGGGCGGCGGCGGGGCGGCCTCGTCAGTGGGAGATGATCCCGGGGTGGCGGGAGGGGGGAAGAGCGGCGGGGAGGCGGCGGGAGGACTGCGGCGTGCAGCCGCTGGGAGCTGGGGGTGGCGGCTGGCCCGGCTGGCAGGGGCGGCGGCAGGCACGGCAGAGGCAGCAGCCACCGGTGCAGACGCCGCGGCGCCGGCACGGGGTGGCTCGGCGGGCAGGGGCGCCCCGGTCCCAGCGCAAGCGGTGCTGTGCCGGGACCGGGGGATTGCGCCGAAACGCCGGCAGGGACTTGGTCTGCCGTGGGCGTTTGCCCCGCCGCGGGACCCGTGGGCAGCTCGGGGTGCGCTGCAGGCGCTTGAACGCCAGGGTGGGGGGGCGGCAGCGCGGCCGCGCCAGGCGCGCTCGGTACCGCAGATCCGGGAGCCGCAGGGAACTGCAAAGATGCAGCAGCAGCGACGGGACTTGGGCCAACACCGGCACCGTGTCGGCAAAGGGGGCGAGGGCAACGGGGGCGGGGCGGGAGGAGCGGCCGCACTCGCGGGTAGCGGGGAGAAAGCGGCAGGGGCGGCAGGGGGCGGGGGCCGCGGTGACGCCGGTCGGCGACTCGAAGGGGCGGGATTAAGGGGCGGGGCCGCGAGCTGGGCGAAACCGGGGGCGGGAACCACGGCAGCCGGGACAGCAGGGACCAACGGGATGGGTGGGGCAACGGCTGCGGGCATCCCCCTTGCGGCAAAGAGCTCAACCAGCGCCCTGAGAGCTGGGACCGGCTCCAGGGCAGCCAAATCCCGGCAGGAGATACTAATAAAGAGCCTAATTCCCACTGTGTCCCAAGAGTCGTAAAAGGCTGCCGTAAAGCGCGACTGTCGTAAAAGGCGTCGTGATCGCGACTGTCGTAAAAGGTGCCGTAAAGTGCGCCTGTCGTAAAAGGTGCCGTAAAGTGCGACTGTCGTAAAAGATGCCGTAAAGTGCGACTGTCGTAAAAGGTGCCGTAAAGCAAAACTGTCGTAAAAGGTGCCGTAAAGTGCGACTGTCGTAAAAGGTGCCGTAAAGCAAAACTGTCGTAAAAGGTGCCGTAAAGTGCGACTGTCGTAAAAGGTGCCGTAAAGCAAAACTGTCGTAAAAGGTGCCGTAAAGTGCGACTGTCGTAAAAGGTGCCGTAAAGCAAAACTGTCGTAAAATGTGCCGTAAAGCAAAACTGTCGTAAAAGGTGCCGTAAAGTGCGACTGTCGTAAAAGGTGCCGTAAAGCAAAACTGTCGTAAAAGGTGCCGTAAAGCAAAACTGTCGTAAAAGGTGCCGTAAAGCAAAACTGTCGTAAAAGGTGCCGTAAAGTGCGACTGTCGTAAAAGGTGCCGTAAAGTGCGACTGTCGTAAAAGGTGCCGTAAAGTGCGACTGTCGTAAAAGGTGCCGTAAAGTGCGACTGTCGTAAAAAGTGCCGTAAAGTAAAACTGTCGTAAAAGGTGCCGTAAAGCAAAACTGTCGTAAAAGGTGCCGTAAAGTGCGACTGTCGTAAAAGGTGCCGTAAAGCAAAACTGTCGTAAAAGGTGCCGTAAAATGCGACTGTCGTAAACGGTGCCGTAAAGCGCGACTGTCGTAAAAGGTGCCGTAAAGCAAAACTGTCATAAAGAGACGCTTGGGACACAGTTGGAATTAGGCTCTTTATTAGTATCTCCCGCCGGGATCTGGCTGCCCTGGAGCCGGTCCCAGCTCTCAGGGCGCTGGTTGAGCTCTTTGCCGCAAGGGGGATGCCCGCAGCCGTTGCCCCACCCATCCCGTTGGTCCCTGCTGTCCCGGCTGCCGTGGTTCCCGCCCCCGGTTTCGCCCAGCTCGCGGCCCCGCCCCTTAATCCCGCCCCTTCGAGTCGCCGACCGGCGTCACCGCGGCCCCGCCCCCTGCCGCCCCTGCCGCTTTCTCCCCGCTACCCGCGAGTGCGGCCGCTCCTCCCGCCCCGCCCCCGTTGCCCTCGCCCCCTTTGCCGACACGGTGCCGGTGTTGGCCCAAGTCCCGTCGCTGCTGCTGCATCTTTGCAGTTCCCTGCGGCTCCCGGATCTGCGGTACCGAGCGCGCCTGGCGCGGCCGCGCTGCCGCCCCCCCCACCCTGGCGTTCAAGCGCCTGCAGCGCACCCCGAGCTGCCCACGGGTCCCGCGGCGGGGCAAACGCCCACGGCAGACCAAGTCCCTGCCGGCGTTTCGGCGCAATCCCCCGGTCCCGGCACGGCACCGCTTGCGCTGGGACCGGGGCGCCCCTGCCCGCCGAGCCGCCCCGTGCCGGCGCCGCGGCGTCTGCACCGGTGGCTGCTGCCTCTGCCGTGCCTGCCGCCGCCCCAGCCCCCAGCGGCTGCGCGCCGCGGTCCTCCCGCCGCCTCCCCGCCGCTCTTCCCCCCTCCCGCCACCCCGGGATCATCTCCCACTGACGAGGCCGCCCCGCCGCCGCCCGTGGCCGCTTTGCCGCTCCTGCCGCTGCCGCTGCATGGCCGGCCGAGCCGCGCCTTCCCCAGCGCAGCCCCCCGCTTCAGAGCTGCTGGATGGCGCGGCTCCGCCGCCTCCTGCAACCGCGGCCGTCCCGTATCGTTCCCTGCCGCGGCCGCAGCCCCGTCTCCCGTTCCCGCCGCCTCCCGCACCCCCCGGCCCGCCCGCCGCCGTTACGGCTGCCCTAGAGACGGCCCCCCCCCCTCCCCCCCCTCCCGCACTAGCGATATCACTCCGCGCCGGCTCATCCAACCACAGCGCCGCTTCCGGGATCAGCCGCACGCATGCGCAGTTCGATCTGCACGGCGCGCCGCCGCCGCGGCCGCGCCGCCGCCGCCGCCGCCGCCGCCGCCGCCGCCGCCGCCGCCGCCGCCGCGGCCGCGCCGCCGCCGTCGCCGCCGCCCCGCCGCCGCCCCGCTGCCGTCGCCGCCGCCGCCGCCGCCCCGCCGCCGCCGCCGCCCCCGCCGCCCCCGCCCCGCCGCCGCCGCCGCCGCCGCCGCCGCCGCCGCCCCGCCGCCGCCGCCGCCGCCCCGCCGCCGCCGCCGCCCCGCCGCCGCCGCCCCGCCGCCGCCGCCGCCGCCGCCGCCGCCGCCCCGCCGCCGCCGCCGCCGCCCCGCCGCCGCCGCCGCCGCCCCGCCGCCGCCGCCGCCGCCCCCGCCGCCGCCGCCGCCGCCGCCGCCGCCGCGCCACCCCCGCCACCCCCGCGCTGCTTTGGCCGCAGCTTTGGTGCAGCTTGGTCCCGGTTCCGAGCCGCTGCGTGCCGCTGTCTGGCCACGGCTGCCATGCCTCTGCCCTGTCACGCCGCTTCCGCCTCCACCAGGTCTGTACACGGCACCGCAGCGGGTGAAAGCGGCAGCGCTTCGCATGTATCCTTCCGCGGTATCGGGATGGCACAGCAGGATGGCACCAGGGCTGGGATGGCACAGCATGGTGGCACCAGGGCTGGGATGGCACAGCAGGGTGGCACCAGGGCTGGGATGGCACAGCAGGATGGTGCCAGGGCTGGGATCGCACAGCATGGTGGCACCAGGGCTGGGATGGCACAGCATGGTGGCACCAGGGCTGTGCAGCCCCACACGTGTAGGCAGCACCCACAGCCGATGGCCCAAGTCAGCAGCACTGTGCATGGGGACAGAGGGGCCACCCGTGTCACAGCAGGACGGGACCATCACGAGCCATGTTGTGTTCATGCCCGGCTACTGCTCATGGTGTCGTGGTCACTCTCCTTGCTTAGACCCCCCCTGCTCTGGGGCTGTGTCCTGCCCACATCTCTGCCAACCTCGGCAGGTGCCACGGCCATTGGAAGGGATTGCGGGGGGAATCTGGGGATGGGCACCCCAGGGCATGCAGGACCCCCTCTGTGCCCAGCTCTGCAGCAGGGATGGACACACTGTGTGCCCCTGGGCTTTGGCATCCCTGCCAGGAGTGTGGGGACCAGGCTCCTTAGAGTCTCCTCCTCCTCTGAGAGCTCAGGGTCTGTGAGGCTGAGGCTG